AGCACTTTGGGAGGCCGAGGCGGGTGGATCACGAGGTGGATCAGGAGATCGAGTCTGTCCTGGCCAACATGGTGAAACCCCGTCTCTACTAAAAATACAAAAAAATTAGCGGGGCATGGTAGCACAAGCCTGTGGTCCCAGCTACTCAAGAGGCTGAGGCAGGAGAACTGATTGAACCCAGGAGGTGGAGACTGCAGTGAGCCAAGATTGCACCACTGCACTACAAGACTGGGTGACAGTGCGAGACTCAGTCGCAAAAAAAAAAAAAAAAAAGCTGAGACTGAGAGCAATTAATTGACTTGCTTACAATCACAGCTTAAGCTAGCATTTAAACCCATGTCCCACTGCAGTGTCTAAGCTCTGAAACATTATATCCTATTTTATTATTACTATTTTTTTGGACAGTCTCTGTCCCCCAGGCTGGAGTGCGGTGGCACGATCTTGGCTCACTGCAACCTCTGCCTCCAGGGTGCAAGTGATTCTCCTGACTCAGCCTCCAGAGTAGCTGGGATTATAGGCACCTGCTACCATGCTCAGCTAACTTTTTGTATTTTTAGTAAAGATGGGGTTTCACCATGTTTGTCAGGCTGGTCTGGAACTCCTGACCTCAAGTGATCTGCCCACCTCGGCCTCCCAAGTGATGGGATTACAGGCGTGAACCACTGTGCCCAGCCTTAAACATTATATTTTAGTTGCTAAACCGCAAATGGGCTGGATGAAAAGTAGGCTAGGTAACCCTTGGCAGACTTATGTTATCCAGAGCATAATAAAGGCTGGACCAGCCAGTTTGCCTGGCAAGAGGCTAAGGATGTATCCACGCAACTTTTTTTCTTTTTATTTTTTCAGGCAACTTTTCTTGATGGCTAGCAGGTGATGCTCAATAAGGATCACTACATTCTTTCAACCACAGGCATGATTCTAAGCTGGGAGATACAGGAGTCAGCAAAACAGAACAAGTCCCTGCCCTCATGGGGTTTACATTCCAGGGAGGGAATCTCTCTAATGAGATGACAACTGAACAGACACTGAGTGATGAAAAGGGCATCAGTTGTGTGGAGACAGTGGCGGGCTGTTGAAGGCCAAGGGAACTGCAGGGACAAAGACACAGAGGTAGCAGCATGTTGGGCACGTACAAAGGACAGCGAGGAAGGCAGTGTGGCAAGGGCACAGTATGGGCAGTAGGAAAGAAGCTGGATGCGTTCAGCGGGGGCCAGACCCTGTTAACACTTAAAGGTCCTTGGGAGAACTGTGTGAGTTGGGCACTGAGGGGCAGGCGTATTAAGAAGAGTGGGAGACATGATCTGATTCATGTTTTAAAGGGAACGCTAGAAACTGTGTGAATTAGGCTGTGAGAAAGCAAAATCTAGGAGGAAAAGTTAAAAGCAACCTTTCAATTGGAACCTTTTGAAGTAGCTGAGTTATAAAGGAAGCTTAGGGCTGGGCGCAATGGCTTGCACCTGTAATCCCAGCACTTTGGGAGGCCCAGGCAGGCAAATAGCTTGAACCCAGGAGTTCAAGACTAGCCTGGACAACACTGCAAAACCCCAACTCTACAAAAAATAGGAAAATTTACTGCATGTGGTGGCACGCACATCTGCAGTCCCAGCTACTCGGGGGGCTGAGGTGGAGACTGCAGTGATGCCAGTGCACTCCAGCCTAGATGACGGAGTGAGAGCCTGTCTCAAAAAAAAAGACTACAAATGAAGCTTAGATTAGCAGAACAGCCACAGAGAAGTAGAGTGGGGAAATAAAACTAATTTTAGGACAGACTTCACTAAATATATATGGTCAAATCAATAGCCATGGATAGATGGAAGGAAAGAAGGCTGTTCTCTAAACAAGCCACAAAAGCGGCTGTATACCCACTCTCTGAAGGTTCTGTTTACTATTCCTAGTAAACACCATCTCCCACATTCTCACGCTACCTACCAACCACTATCAGGGACGTTCCCATTGGGTGTGCTTACAGATCATTCAACCATTATATGACACGGATATCTGCTATTTATTTATATTTAAATGAGTCTCTCCGAACAAGCTTAGTGGGCTCTGAGAATCTGGTTAAAGCACAGTCCTAATACCCCAGGAAAGCACCTTCAGGTTAATAAGCTAAATGGCCCAGACTGCCTCCTAGTCGTACTTCGCAACATTGTTTCTAACAAGCTTAAATCCCAACAAAAAGTTGGGACACTGAAAAGGTTAAAAGGGAAACTGCAGCAAAGGTAATGGCAAAGATGAAAGAAAAACTTCCGCAGAGGGTAGTGTCTCATGCCTGTAATCCCAGCACTTTGAGAGGCCAAGGCAGGCAGATCACCTGAGATCAGGAGTTCAAGACCCTGGCCAACTTGGTGCAATCCCGTCTCTACAAAAATACAAAAATTAGCCAGGCATGATGGCGGGTGCCTGTAATCTCAGCTACTCAGGAGGCTGAGGCAGGAGAATCGCTTGAAGCCGGGAGGTGAAGGTTGCAGAGAGCTGAGATCGTGCCACTGCACTTCAGCCTGGGCAAATGAGACTCTGACTCCCGACAAGAAAGAAAAGAAAAGAAAGACTGCAAAGTCAGAACTTCATGACTGCTTACCTAGCTCTCTCTCTCTGCTAATTTAACCTTGAAAGGATGTTTTCTTTGTGTCTTTAAGGAGAGATACCCCACTGGCAAGATGTCTCCCAAGGCACTTGCTGGATGATGACTATACTGACTCAGGCTCCTCAGGGCTGGAACCTGACTGCAAAGCACAGCAGGTGTGAGTGAAACTGCTGAGTGAAAAACCAGCCGCCCTCCACAATCTCAACCTTGGTAACGCATTCCCAAAACACTCAGCTTACCTTCCTAGTGTAAAAGCGCCAGACTACCCATTACCTCACAGAAGGCCTTCCTGAACCTTTCTACCCACCTCACTCCTGTGGGCAACAGCTGTCTGCTGCGTAAGACAACACTCTGTGATTTACCCAAAAAGTAACTTCAGGGACTGTCTTAGCTTTTAGCTCCTTTTCTTTTCTTCTTTCAGGCAACATTCCAAAACCAAAAGTTTCCCCGTCCAGGGAGGGATAAAAAGCAAAGTTTAAAACAGTGCCTGCCACGCACGATGGCTCCCGCCTGTAACCCCAGCACTCTGACAGGCCATGACAGGTGGACTGCTTGAGCCCAAGAGTTGAAGACCAACCTGGGCAACATAGAGACCTAGTCTTTCTTTCTTTCTTTCTTTTTTTTAACATAATATAAAAGTCATTTTATTGTTTTGCAACCTTTAACATTCACATGTAAAAACAGAAGATTCTGCCTGGAAATGCGAGTTGTGCTATATTATAAGAAATTAAATTTAAGCTGAGTGCGGTGGCTCACACTAGTCTCTCTCTTTTTTAAGACAGGCTCTTGCTCTGTCGCCCAGGCTGGTGGACTTCACTGCAACCTCTGCCTCCCGCGTTCAAGGGATCCTCCCACCTCCCTAGTAGTTCGTGTCTCATCCTCCCAAGTAGCTGGAATTACAGGCACGTGGCACCACACCTGGCTAACTTTTGTATTTTTTTGTAGGTACGAGATTTCCCCATGTTGCCAGGCTGGTCTTAAACTCCTGGCCTCAAGCGATCCTCCCACCTTGGCCTCCCAAAGCGCTGACATTACAGGCGCGAGCCACAACACTGAGCCAAGGCCTTGTCTACACACACACAAACACACACACACACACACACACACACACACACACTTTTTAATTAGCCAGGTGTGATGTTGAGCGGCCATGGTCCCAGCTACTTAGGAGGCTGAAGCGCCACTGTACTCCAGCCTGTGCGACAGAGCGAGACCCTGTCTCAAAACACACACACACACACACACCCCAAAACCAACTGGATGCCAGTCCCAGCTATCTCTGTAACTTTGCCTACATTCCTTTATCAATAAAGGGCAAATGCACACGCCAGGCCTCCTTCACGAGGTCTTTCTGAAGTCTAATGCAAATGAGAAATGGCGACCAACTGTCATGTGTGCCCAAATCTAAGATCCATTAAAGTGATGGCTACAGTCAAAGCTCTAAACCAACAGGACAGGTCGTGGCCAAGCACACTGCAGTCACTCAATAAACAAAGGTCAAATAAAAAGTATTTTTCTCCAGTGACGGGGTAAAGAGGAGAAGCGTGCTGGCCAGACCCCTCAGTGTCGCTGCACAGTCCTCGAAAGGTAACTCCCTGTCTCTGGGCCTTCTTTCCCCCTACGTGTACAATGAGGCTTTGACAATGAAGACTTCTAATCACTGCTACATTAAGGGAGGCCGACCCTGAGAGACCAGAGTGCCTTAACGTGCAATGTCATGAAAAGTGCACCAGAGCAGAGGGTGGGCACTGGACTGGGAAGCAAAGGCACAGAGGTCTGGTCCGAGCGGCCCTCTAGCGAGCAGTGTGACCTTGGCCAACTCCGTTCCCGCAAACCCCTTCCTCCCGTCTTCATCAGCACGCCTGGCCTGAAGGCAGGGGCTGCGGCGGAGCCGGAGCCGCCAGTGCGCCCGCCTGCCGCGTGGGCCAGCTCCGCACTGCCTCGCCCCCACGCCACCCTAGCCCACCCCAGCGCAGCCCAGCCCGAGGAGTCCCACGCTCTTCCGCAGGCGAGGGATGGACCCCTTCCGGATGCAGGACGTGCCAGGACAGCAGTTTCGATTTCCTAAGGAGAAGGCTTCCTTCCCCCGGAGTCCCGGCACTCGAGAGCCTCCCCCGCTGCCGCCCGGCCCCGCCGCTGCACGCAGCACCCGCACGGGACCTCCCAGCCCCGCTCCGCAGCCGGCCGCAGTCCCGCGGGGTCCGTATCGCGGGAGGGGCGTTGCCATAGGAACCGAACTCCGGACCCCGGCCCGCCGAGGACTGGAGAGGCTGGAAAGGAAGGCTCGCGAGACCCGCGGGGACCCCCCCCCCCATGCAACCACGCCCGGCCGTCCCCTCCTAGGGCAGCTTCGCCCAGCCGGCAGCGCCCCCACAGCTCCGCGCCTTCCTGCTCGGCTCCACAGAAACCCTACCTTCCGCCATGTCTGACCCGGCACTGCCTCCGGCCTCGCGAGAAGTGCGCGGAGGAGCCGGGGCGGCGCGGAACCGAGGCACCAAGTCTCGCGAGAATCCTGGGAGGCGCGGCCAAGGGCGGAGCCGAGGGGAGGAAAGCGCTGAATGAAAGCTGAGCGGGTGAACTGGGCTCCGCGGGAGTCGTTTTGAAGCGTAGGCATTCGGGCTGACAGATACCTGGGACAGGAGAGACGCCGTTGAATGTGTAAGCCTTCTGATTGCGGCAGGAGACGAGAGGCGCGGAGGTGGTGTGGGTAGGGAGGTGCTTGGGGGAGCTGCCCTGAGCCAGCCACACTCAGGCACAAAGAAGGGTAGGGGACACCTTGCCAGGCTCCGTGGAAGCGCCGTCACTCAAGTGCCTCTCTCTGTTGAGAATGGTTTATAGGTGCGTCCAACAGTGGCCCGGCAGGCCGGGCTCTCCGGGACGCAAGCAGCCTCGTCTGTCTGCCGTGGAGTACCCTGCACATATGGCCCGGGTCGTAACATGAAAATGACGTGAAAGTTGTAGAGTTTTGTCATGGCCGATTCCTGATTTGCATGGCGACTGTCATTAACCTCAGCAGCACCAGCCTAGACTCTGGAATACAGCAGGTGCTCAGAATGTTTGAAGAGGTGTTTTCCGTGGTGTGCTATTCTGGGAGTGGAGACCCGAGCTCGGGTTTGGCTCTGCAGCTGACTTGCTGTGTTGATTATGGACAGGTCCTTGCCAGCCTTGTGACGCATCTGAGCCTACCTCAGTTTCACGAGGAAATTGGACTAGAATTAGTGGTTCCTAAAGATTTAGAGGGCCATGGCCCCCTTTGAGAATTTGATGAAAACCAGAGGCCTCGCCCTTTGAGTAGCACACGTGCAGGAATAAACAAACGTGTGCCCTTTCAGAGCATGCTGAGACTAGATGCCCATGATCAAAGAACTCTCCTGAGGGGATGGATGAGCTCAGGGGCTTGACTGCCTCTTCATCCCAGCCTCGCTCTAAGGAGCCCTCTACCAGAGGCGAACGTACCCCTCTTAAAAAGGACTTCATGGTATCCCTGAGCCCTTGTTTTATTTTTGGCGGGGGACGGGGGAGACAGTCTTGCTCTGTCGCCCAGGTTGGAGTGCAGTAGCACGATCTCGGCTCACAGCAACCTCTGCCTTTCAGGTTCAAGTGATTCTCCTGCTTCAGCCTTCGGAGCAGCTGGGATTACAGACACCCACCACCATACCCAGCTAATTTTTGTATTTTTAGTAGAGACAGGGTTTACCATATTGGCCAGGCTGGTCTCAAACTCCTGACCTCGTGATCCACCCTCCTCAGCCTCCCAAAGTGCTGGGATTATAGGCGTGAGCCACCGTGCCCGGCAGGCCCTTGTCTTTTGAGGGGACTCTTACAGGCTTGTAACCCCTGAGTTACAGAGAACGTAAGTAAAGCCTGTGAAATGAAGCACTTGTAGTATTCAGTAAACTACAACACCCAACAGGTTTGGAGGGAGCTGTAACATTAGCTATAACCAGAAATACAGACATCTTGAAAAAGCTGAGCACTGAACATGTGCATTTTAAAGCCACTTCAGGTTTTGTCAGTCAGATTCAGAGGAACGTAGTGTGGTGCTGTCTCAGGCAAGGAGCATGAAGGAGAGGAAGGGAATGCATGCTGTCTGCCCTAGCTTCAAGAGCGCAGGGGAACACACTTGGGAGGCAGTGCGCCATCACGGCGGGGCGGGAAGAGGGAGGAAATTTACACTAGGAGTCCAGTGAATTGGGTCAAGCAGCAGGCCCAACACATCCACCCTCTGGATGACGCTAGAAAAGTCAGTGTTCCTGAGCTCTGGCCTCCCCACCTGTGAAGGGCTAACAGCACCCACTATGTAAGGAAGGCAGTGGGACCGAATCCCAGCCATGCAACCTGTGTGCTTTACAGCGATGGCAAAGCAGCCTGAACCTGCTTCCTCATGACAAATGATTACTGTGGAAGCTTCTTATAAGAATTTAACTAGAACCTTTAGGAAAAACACACAGCACAAGCTTGCCGCAAAGAGAGGCTCAACGAATAGAAATTTGATTTCCAGTGCTCTTGTTGGGAATAAACGGAAGTCACTGTGAACACAAAGGTGCTAGTGTATTTATTCCTACTGGATACTGCTGAGAAGAGGAAAAAAAATCAAGTGTCTTGCCCAGGACTTTCTATGCAGCTCCTGTCTTACAAGATGTGTTTGGCTGCCTTTTGTGAAAGGCTTTTCCTTCAGTTTATTTACCTATGTGAACAGAATTCAGATTCTTTTAACCATTTCACTAAAGCTCAGTGAGGAGTGCCGACAAGCCAAAAAGGCTAATCCTACCTTAGCAGCCAGATTACACACATCTGAAACTGAACTGAAATGCCACACCCAGAAAAGAATTTGATCTGTGAACTGAATCCTTGCAGGGTTGTGGGCTTCACCAAAGCAAAAGGGTTTGTGATAAGGTGGTGATTAGCCCTATCCCACCAGGGAGCAGAAAAGCAACAACTCTCCTGGAACCTAGTGCCTTGCACACACCATCAAAAACCTGTTCATTTGCATTTGAAGCAGCATGCAAATAAAACATTTTGGCTATTATCCTGAGTCTGTTTGTAACTGTTGTAAGTTTGGTGTATCATCTAGACCCTTCCACAACAGTTGATTCTAAATATATTTATCAGGGAATTTACACTCTGGAGATAATCCTTGATCTTCCCAAAACTTCTCTCGGGGGATTTTCTTGTTTATTATTTAGCTGAATAAGAGGTCTGGATCCATGTTCATTTCTCAGAGTTTGTAAGGAAGAGGGCCTAACAGTCTACTAGTGATTTATATCAAGGACAAACAAGCTTTCAACACCTAACGCTAACTCTGTATGAAATATTTGTAAGAATTCAGGATACAAAGTGGATGCTGGTATCTTGTCTATCTTGTAAAGAAATGAAGGCACTCTACTAGGTCTTGCCTCTTTCGTCACTAACTTACTAAATGGCCCTGGGCAGGTATTTGGGTGTTTCTCCATCTGTTTAGAGGACAGAAGGTGATGACTGATGATGCCTAGTCTCTTCCAGTCCACACTGGAGTCTGGGTTCCTCACCTTTTAGCTTATCTTTATGGTAGAGCCAGGTTCATGTGCTGTTTATACAGAAAGAATCCCACAACTTGGTTTTGAGACCTGCATCCTAAAACCAAAATAGCTCATGATACAGCCTCTAAGTCATCATTTATTGATTTTAGAGCACCCATCACATGAATGAGGTGCTTTACAATACAGTAAACATCACAACAGAACTCACATAGTTAAATACAATCAACAAATTACAGAACTAAAAAAAACTGGAATGAAGCAACATTATGTCAGATTTCAAAGATGCTGAGAAGTGGCAGTACAAAAAAGGTAATTCCACCAACTGGAGACCAGAGGGGCAATGATACACAAGCACCACAGCCCAAAGCGGGCAGATTTTTGTAGAGGGTGAGTGAGCATATAAAATTAAATTTCACAACCGAGAATGAAGGCCGTTAAAAGATATGACACCCACATGATCACAGTACTAGTGGAATAACCTCACAAACATTACCTTATAATGACAAGGATTTTAAACTCAAGAGGCCAAAAAGCCACTGAGATCATCTATCCCATACGAGCACAGACTGAAATCTATATGCCTCTACAAGAATTTGGAACAAATTTAGGACATGGCCAACAGTTCTACAATCCGTAAGATCTAGGGAGATGTTGGCACAAGTTTTGGGGGAAAATCCTTTTCCTAAAGCAGAGAAGAATCACTTCACACTGATGATGAGGTGCTGGTGGAGCAACGGCCACCTGGTTCAGTGTCATCTGAGTGTGGGTTTCATATCAAACGTAGAGGCATTTAAATTTACATTATCAGATGGACACTGAGAAAGGCACAGATGACATCTCTGACAGAGGAAGGGAAGTTGTAACATCTACGTGGGCCTGTGTTTCAGTGTGGCACAGTCAGGGCACCAGGTGGAAAAGCACGTGAAGAGAGACGCACTCATTCCTGGCTCTCACTTCCACTCCCCTAGAGCTAGCCCTAAAAAAAAACCACATGGTTTTATCAAAGGAACTGTATTAAAGTGGCACTTAAAGTTCAAAAATAGTTGTCCCTGAGTTACTAGGTCATTTGCTGCTTGCTGAAGAGTCAAATCCCAAGTTTCACCTCAATAGATTGCTAGCAGAATTGCAGCAATAGGAGAGCAAAATTCGAACTCCATTTTGCCACAAGCAACCACCATGTTAACAATTTCTGACTTAAGAGTAAAAAGGGAGGGATCCCATCTCTTAAAAAAATTTTTTTTAAATTAGCCAGGCATGGTAGCACACACCTGTAGTCCTAGCTACTCAGGAGGCTGAGGCAGGAGGATCACTTGAGCCCAGCAGGTTAAAGCTGTACTTAGCTATGATCGTTCTTACTGCACTCCAGCCTGAGTGACAGAGACCCAGTTAAAAAAAAAAAAAAAAAAAAGTAAAAGGGATTGCATTCCAAGTCCCATGGGGGTGTGCAGTGCTGATATTTTGGGGCAACAATTTTTATAGTCTTTGAAAAACAGACCAAGTCACGAAGTTCTTAAAGAAAACTGGGTTCCAATGAATCAAACAATTTCCAGTCACAACACATTTACAAGTTTTATAAGGTTTGTATAATGTTTACGGGTTTTTACAATGCTTCTGAGCAGAGAACAGACAGGGATTTAGAAAAAAATCACTTTCTACTGTGACTACATCCTCAACCATTTTATTTCTGCTTAAAAAAGGACATACAGCGTTTGCAGAGGTCTGGGCTATTGGCAGGAGTTCTTTCACTCTTCTGCCAAAGCATTTCCCCAAACCCCACAGAGCGGAGATGCACGAATTCTCACTGATTCTCACAAACACATGTCCCATCTGCTACTGTCTCAAGTTCTAACCCCCCTTAGAAGCCGAAGACTACTTCCCGCACACAACCTCACAACAAACATAAAGGAGCCCAGGGCCTGCCTTTAACACTGCACATGTTCATTTTACCATTCACTGAAGCTGTTTT